GTGAGTGAGTGAGTGAGTGAGTGAGTGTGTGTGTGTGAGTGTAGGTTTCTGTTTTGGATTATGAGTATATACATGACTGTACACAGACCAGTGCATTTGCTACATTGGGTATTGAGCGTGAGTGTGTGAATGTGCCCATCCAGAGAGCCTTTTAGACCTGAAGTCACACTGGGAAAATGGCAGCAAATGAGAACGAACTGCCGAACTTCAGAAAGGGTCACGCAGTGCTCCAATTATGAGTGTGTGCGAGCCTCGGGGAGTCATCCGGCACAAACACATCTCACATCATATCTCTCTTCTCTCTCTTTTTTGTGTCAAGCATTCAGAGGAACATGGCAGAGATGTGTAATTACTTGTTTGAGGCATTGTGTTTTCAACAGGTGTGAAATATGTGCGCCTCCTCCCCTCCGCTGTTCCTTTTCATCTCGGTTCGTCTCCTCTTCTTGAACCTCACGTCCATTTTTTCTCAATCTTTTCTTCTCCCAGATTTTTTTTCTCTCGCTGTCACACATTGCTTCTCTCTCCTTCCCCTCATATTCCCCCTGTCAAGTTTTCCAGGTTGTTTTTCATCTTCTCACACACGCCTAAGTTTCCTCCCCTTCTTTAAAGTGGTTTATCTCTTTTTTGCCCCCGGCCAAAATAACAACAGCTTATTAACCTCGATTAGCCCCGCCAGTTTTTCTTTTCAGCGCTGTTCCTCTCTTTTCTCTCTCTAATGCACTCATTCTTCTTCAAGAGCGAGGAATTCTCATGCAACACTCGTCTAAACGCTATACCTGAAACACACACACACTCATGACGACACACCTTTTTCTCAACCCAAGGTCACAGTAATCATCCAAGTGTCTCTGTTAGATCAGTAGCAGGGTGTGGAAGAGTTCAGCAGTGCATTTCAGATGCATCCAAAATCCTGATCCAATGCAACCGGCTTATTGAAAACATCAGATATTCTGAAATCTTCCATTAAAGTCTTAGAAACATTGACTGACATCTTATTCGTATTAGAACTGTCTTTTGTTCCAATGAATAACTGGATAAGAGCACCCCGAGGAACATTTTATTGCTCCAAGGTTTCTCTTTCAGAGCTCAGAAGACTGTATTTCGTTTCATTAAAGCATTAAGATCATGTCAGATATTTCTGCTATTATATTTCCAAAGTGAAATAGTAATAGACAACTGGTATTGTGTAATATAAAAATAAAGGTTCTTTATTGGCATCAATGGTTCCATAAAGAACTCTTCACATCTTTAGATTTGGACAAAACAGTGAAAAAAACAAACAAACACAAAACACACTCTTTACAGATGAAAAAAGTTTCTTTAGGTTATTAAAATGATTCTTTTTAAGAACTGTTTACTGAAAAGTTCTTAAAGGAACCCAAAACGGCTCTTTTATGGCATCCACTGCACTGAAACTTTTACTTTTAAGAGTTTGAGAGCTTTAAAATAACATTAATTTATGACCTCTGACAAATTAGATTTCATACACTGCAAAAAAATGCTTTTCTTACCTAGTTTTTTTTGTCTTGTTTTCAGCCAAAATATTTAAAACTTCTTAAATCAAGAAGGATTTTCTGGACACGTACAAATTATTGTCTTGTTTTCAGAAAAAAACAAGTTAAAATTAACTGAGTTTTTGCTTAGAACAAGCAAAATAATCTTATTTCAAACAGAAAACAAGATTATTTTGCTCACCCCATTGGCAGGTTATTTTGCTTGTTTCATGCAAAAACTCACTTAATTTTGACATGTTTTTTCTGAAAACAAGACAATAATTAGTCTTCTTGATTTAAGAATTTTTAAATATTTTGGCTGGAAACAAGACAAAAAAACTAGGTAAGAAAAGCATTTTTTTGCAGTGTATTCAGATCTCTGAATTTTGATCACAGGCTCTGATATCTTGGTTTCGAGAGACTTTGAGATCTCTTCTGAAACTCTCAGAGACAAATTGAAAAAAAAAAAAAAAAAAAAAAAAACTTTTGAAATCTTTATTTTTAATAGTTTGAGATCTTAGAGCTTTAAAATAATGTTGATTTATGCCCTGCGAAAAATGTTATTTTATCATCTCTGAATTTTGTTCGCAGGCTTTGGTATCTCTGTTTCAAGAGAGAGATGTCTTCTGAAACTCTCAGAGACAAATTGAAGATGAATCGAAGACATATGAGACAAATAGAGGTTCATTGATGGTTCCACGAAGAACCTTTAACATTCATAAAACCTTGCCACCGTGCAAAAGGTTCTTAATAATGGAAAAAGGTTCTTTAAATTATCAAAATGTTCTTCACACTAATAGTTCTTTTAAGAACTGTTCTCTGAAAGGTTCTTCGATAGCATCACTGTGAAAACCCCAGTTTTTGAATCCTTATTTCTAAGAATGTTTAGGATCTTTTTCTCTGCAAACACCTGGAGAAGCAGATGCAACTGAGATATTAAAGAGAACTCATTTATTATTTTTCTTCCTTACGAAAGTAGGCACCACAAACCAATAACATTATTGTTCTGATGTCCATTTTAGACTTTTTCGGTAACACTTTATTTTAGGGTCTCTTAACTAGTTGCTTATTAGCATGCATATTACTAGAATATTAGCCATTTATTAGTAGTAATTAAGCACATATTAATGCCTTATTCTACATGACCTTATTCTACATCCCTAATCAATACATAAACTTAACAACTACCTTACTATTAATAAGCATGAGGGAAAATTCGTAGTTAATAGTGAATAAGTGTTCCCTATTCTAAAGTGTTACCACTTTTTCTAAACGTGTTCTAAAGGAAATGTTGATTTGTCCATGCAGAAGTCATTGGATGAACTCCGAAAGGCAGAAATCGTAACTCTGATTGCTTAGAAAATAACAACAACCGGCACGATTTGGCATTATATTTACAACATTTTCTTAAGGTTACTATCTATCAGCTTGAGCAAAGATAGCAGTGGTGCTTCTTAGCAAACACAAACAATTAAACTCTGTTGATTCGGGAACTGCTGTTTTTCTCATGGCATTGTAGATCTTATCGAGAATCACATGAAGAATGTTCTTCTCTCTCGTTTCTTATTTGGATGTGAGCACAACAGCTCGAAAACAGAGCACTGGCATATTTACATAACCCCTGAAACCGACTTTATTGAATAACAGCGGCTTTCATTAGGACGGATCTGCATGCGTGTGTGTGTGTGTGTGTGTGTGTGTGTCTCCTGCAGCTGGCAGCAATGATATGATGTCAAATCGGTATATCAGTCAGTTGCGCTGTCTTTCTCTCTGTCTCACACACATGCACATGTAGCCTCTCGCCTTCCATCTTCTGACTGATTTGTTGCCTCTGTGTTAACACCAAACAGACGAGGCTCCGAGGCTCCAGTCAACAATACCAAGAATTCAGCATTATGGTGCAATATCATAAAACATGTTCCCTCCCATCACATCATATAAAGTTATATTGCCCATATGATGGGCTGGTCAGTTCGGTGCACAAAGAGTCTAGTCGTTCATATTCATGAGCGAGTGTGTGTGTGTGTGTGTGTGTTTGTGAAGGGGGTCAGGGTCATGTTGTGTGTCTGTGTACAGTTAAAGTAGAGATTTATGTGCAGTCTGCACTCAATCAAACGTGCATTCCTTCACTGACTACACACACACACACACATGCAGGGCACTAGATGGATGTTAGAATATAAATGCATTTTACATACATGATTGACATCCGGCGATTGTTTCTAGATGCATGCATCAAAGCACGTTTCACTCGCTCATGCACACACTTGCTCTCCGTGATCTCTACAAGGCGACACACACTCCCTGTGGATATTTAGTTTGAATTTTAAATGGATGGAAGTTGGCCTGAAACGTCGTCCTTCAGAACGAAGCAGGAATGGACAATAAAACCTGCATCAGGAGAAAAAACCTCACTTTTCCCTGAACTGTCCTCTTAAAAATGAATGGCATCGATGGTTCCTTGAAGAACCTTTAACATCCATGAAATCTTTCCATTGCACAAAAGGATCTTTACACTCCTAAAAAAGGTTTTAAAATGGGGTGATGCCATAACCATTTTGGTTCCTTAAAGAATTAACCTTTCAACGAACAGTTCCTAAAAGAACCATTTTTTCTTGGTGTGAAGAACATTTTAATCATCTAAAGAACTTTTCCCACTATAAAGAACCTTTTGTGCAGTTGAAATGTTCCATGGATGTTAAGGGTTCCTCATGGAACCATCGCTGGCAATGAAGAACCTTTATTTTTAAGAGTTTATAGTGGGAAAAGGTTCTTTGAAAATTCACTGAAAGGTTCTTTATTTTATCGATGGTTCCATGAGGAACCTTTAACAAATGATGGAATCTTTCAATTGCACAAAAGATTCTGGATAAATAGTGGAAAAAGTTTCCTTAGATTATTAAATTACAAAAAAAAAAATATATATATATATATTTTAAGAACTGTTCACTGAAAGGTTCTTTAGGGAACCAAAAATGGTTCTTCTACAAAATGAAGATTCTTTATTGACATTGATGGATGAACCTTTAAGAATATTATTTATATTACACAAAGATCGTTTATAGTAGAAAAAAACGTTCTTCTGATTATTAAAATGTTCTTTACATTAAGAAAAATGGTTCTTTTAAGAACGGATCACTGAAAGGTTCTTTAGGGAACCAAAAATGGTTCTTCTACAAAATGAAGATTCTTTATTGAAGTTAATGGATCCATGAAGAACCTTTAGCAATCTTTCTATTACACAAAAGGTTGTTTATAGTGTACAAATGTTCTTCTGATTATTCAAATGTTCTTTACATTACAGTTTTTGCCCGTTGCTTGAACACTATAGACACATGCTTAAACCAAAGTAACATAACTTGAAGTTGTTGTTACTATACCTTAAACAAAGTGTAACCATACCTTAAACAAAAGCGCTGCTTTGCACTTTAGTTGCAATTCTGTAACACACTTGCTCCTTTCTGCAACACACTTGCTCCTAGACACTACACACTATTTCATACATAAGACACTTAGTTCAAAAATGAAATCTCAGGGTACCATTGGGAAAACACATCTATTCAAAATACAACACACATTGGTTAATTGAAAAGACGTTGACACACACCTGAAAACACTTACTTACAAAACTGAACACCAATCAGCCAGCTACAAAAAGGTCTCAGTTAAGCCATTTTGAGAACTTGAGGCAGGGAGAGCTAGAGGCAGAGGAAGAGGAAGACAGAGAGAGAGAGGAGGACGTGGTCGAAGAGGCCACGCAAGGACCATTATTTCGGATGACATAAGAGCAACTTTGGTGGACCATGTCATAAACCATGGCCTGACTATGAGGGAAGCTGGGCAGAGAGTCCATCCTAATCTAAGCCGTTTCACAGTTTCATCCATAATAAGGACATTCCGACTGGAAAACAGGTATGTCTTCAACTCTCTACTCTACTCAGACTGTATCTAGAGTATTTAAATTTAGCAAAACGTGTGTAAGCAATAGGCAAAAACTGTAAGAAAAATGGTTGTTTTAAGAACTGTTAACTGAAAGGTTCTTTATTGGCATAAATACTTCCATGAAGAACCTTTAACAAATGATGGAATCTTTCCATTATTAAAATGTTTTCACACTAATGAAGAAACAAATGAACTGTTCACTGAAAGGTTCTTTAGGGATCCAAACCCTGAATCCTTTAGTTTTAAGACTTCACATTCTCCATCTCATGTCCATCGTTTTTTTTTCCTCATGCTTTTTATTTTTTTTTGCATGTTTTTTTTTTCTGTTCAGTTCCGATGCACTATATCTCAACCTGTGTAATTACCTTTCTTTTTTCACTCTTGCTTTTTTTTTATTATCTCTTCCCTCCCCCCTCGCCATGCCCCCATCTCTCTGACTCAAGTTTCTCATTTAATGTAGTCCAAAACCTGCTCTTAAATAAAAATAAATACAACAGAATGAAGAGCAACTATCTGCACGTCCAATCTAGAAGATCAAATCTGGAACTCGAACAGCTTGAGAAAGAAAGAAAGAAAGAAAGAAAGAAAGAAGTGGGAGAGCGAAAGGGGCTTGGTGAAGCGAGGGGCCATGTTAATTTGGGAAAAATGTAAACAGCATGTGTAACTGTTCAAACCGTGACCAACTCATTTTATATCATTCCCCTGTGCTCGCTCGCTCCTTTTCTTTTAGAGGGAATCTGGGCTGCGTTAACCCTCTTTCCTTTCCTCCATCTGTGTGTGTGTGTGTGTGTTTAGAGCCTGACTAACTTGAATCATGTACTTTCTCATATCAGTGTCGGTTAACAAGACAGGGGTGAGTTTGCTCTGTGAACCGCATGCACTCGACAGCAAGCATAACTCGTCTTAGTATTGTGCACATGTGAGCAGATTTATGAAAATGTCCCCACAAATATAGTGAAATAATGAAAAAAAGAAAAGTCTTCTATTTGAAAGGCTTATTAATTATGTATCGCTCTCTGACATCAAACAGGTTTGTGTGAGAGTTATGGTTTAGAAAATAACATCAGTCCTGAATAAAAACTATTATGAAATGACACAGTTTGTGATCCTAATATTTTTGGAAAAGCTTTGTTTGTTGGACAAGGCTTTGTTATACATTTATATTTTAGTGTGAACATTTCTTTTAACACAACAAATGTTTGTTTTAAATAATTTAGTCATTTATTTTTAAAACAACCCATTCTGTTTTTAAATGTGTTTTTCTTTGTCATGTAATATGTCCATTGAAACTGGATAAACTCAATAGCTTTTCTCATTAAAAAGTACTAATTTTAATCAGAAAATACTATCTTATTACACGTGATCAGTCTCGCGCCAACGCATTAATTTAGACTGATTTAACATATGCAAATGAAAACAATCGAGGGGACTTTTAGAGCAACAATCCAATCGATTATTTAACATGAAAAGCAAAGTTATATTTGAACTAAACATGTGTCGTTAATTCTTTAACGAAATGCACTGCTGTTATAGGCCTCTCAAACTCAGAAGAAGCAGATTTTCAGAGAATCAGTCTTTGATAGACAGCGATAGAGAGTTTTTGAAACAGAAGGGTCAAATATTCATAAGAGAACTAATGGTTGAATCACTATATTTTCACCTTGCAAACACATTTACGCGCACACAAACAGTAGGCCTAATGATAGCCTAATAATAAAAGTAAAAAAAAAAATTCAAGCTCCGAGAAAAAATAAATATTTAATAATTATCTGTTGATAATAATAATAATAATAATACTCAACTCATCAACATTAACAGTGAAAAGCCAAAGTCGCTCATCACTTACCTTTCCATGTAATGCGATGCATTTTAATTGGCACAAATCCCTGATTTCCCTTCGGATCCGTTTATTCTTTTTAGGAGGTTTTGAAAGAGTTCTGGATGAAATAAAACAAAGCCCGTTATTTTCCTGCGCTGTCCGGTGCTTCAGTAAACTCTCCAAAAACTCGCATTAGCCTGCGCTTGCCTAGAGCCCAACACACGAGAGTGATATATGTAGCCTATATACATAGACAGAGAGAGAGGAAAAATATCTAGCTTGAGTTAACAATAAAGGTAAAGTGTGTGAGACTGAATGCGCTCGTGAAGGGACCGACAGCTGCTGAGCTCTGAGATGCAGGTATCTGAAGCTGAAGTGACTGAAGTGATTTTATACACATGCCCTCTCTCCTCCTTCTCTCCTCTTCAGTGATTCACTGTTGATTCATCTCCTCTGAAGTGCCACGAGACTCCGAAACCACAAAGCTGGGAGGAATTACACTTCTGACAGATATTTCATAATTCCTCCAATTATTTTCTCACCAACTGCATGCATTTTTTTTCTCGCATTCGGTGACTCAATTATAATTTGGCATTGAGTAAGTGATTCAGAACGGGCCGTGTTTAGACTGGTGTGTTTCTGACAGTGAGGTTATTGAGATTGTGTGTTTAACACACACGCGTGGGTTTATTTCAGAGGCTTCACTTCACCGCGTGACATTAAAAGAAGAGGAAGGGTTAACGCTGGGATTATTGCATAACTCTTCTGAGCCTGTGATGTTTGATTGATTGATTTGCGGTCAGCTGATGTTGGATTTGATGAGTCGTGATGCTGGCGTCCTCTGCTGTTTAACACTGGGATCTTCCAGCTCGACTAGCATCCATGTGACTGTATTACCACTTTTTTTTAATTTTTAATTTTTATTTTTTTTAATATAATAACAATTATTAATATACATGGACAAATTTGCATACACTGAAAAAAATTATACTTATTTTTTTTTAAGGTAAGTGGTTGCAAACAATTTATTTTAGCTACATTTAATCAAAAAGTATATGTTGAGAGTTAGTCAACTACATTTGTTTATTTAAATGTAGCTAAAAGAAATTAATTGCAACCACTTACCTTACTTTTTTCTTTAATTCAATTAATAATTTTTTTTCAGTGTAGAAAGATATTTAACCTTTAACTGTGTGTGTGTGTGTATATATACAGTGGGTACGGAAAGTATTCAGACCCCCTTAAATTTTTCACTCTTTGTTAAATTGCAGCCATTTGCTAAAATCAATCAAGTTAATTTTTTTTCCTCATTAATGTACACACAGCACCCCATATTGACAGAAAAACACAGAATTGTTGACATCTTTGCAGATTTATTAAAAAAGAAAAACTGAAACATCACATGGTCCTAAGTATTCAGACCCCTTGCTCAGTATTTAGTAGAAGCACCCTTTTGATCTAATACAGCCATGAGTCTTTTTGGGAAAGATGCAACAAGTTTTTCACACATGGATTTGGGGATCCTCTGCCATTCCTCCTTGCAAATCCTCTCCAGTTCTGTCAGGTTGGACGGTAAACGTTGGTGGACAGCCATTTTTAGGTCTCTCCAGAGATGCTCAATTGAGTTTAAGTCAGGGCTCTGGCTGGGCCATTCAAGAACAGTCACAGAGTTGTTGTGAAGCCACTCCTTCGTTATTTTAGCTGTGTGCTTAGGGTCATTGTCTTGTTGGAAGGTAAACCTTAGTTCCAGTCTGAGGTCCTGAGCACTCTGGAGAAGGTTTTCATCCAGGATATCCCTGTACTTGGCCGCATTCATCTTTCCCTCGATTGCAACCAGTCGTCCTGTCCCTGCAGCTGAAAAACACCCCCACAGCATGATGCTGCCACCACCATGCTTCACTGTTGGGACTGTATTGGACAGGTGCCTGGTTTTCTCCACACATACCGCTTAGAATTAAGGCCAAAAAGTTCTATCTTGGTCTCATCAGACCAGAGAATCTTATTTCTCACCATCTTGGAGTCCTTCAGGTGTTTTTTTAGCAAACTCCATGCGGGCTTTCATGTGTCTTGAACTGAGGAGAGGCTTCCACTTACCTTACTTTTTTCTTTAATTCAATTAGTCATTTTTTTTCAGTGTAGAAAGATTATTTAACCTTTAACTGTGTGTGTGTGTGTATATATATATATGAATAATTTATTGATTCTCCCTAATTCCTCTTTTTCATCTTTTAAATATTCCTATCTAAAATAACCTAACACTTACATACACTCAGAAAGTCTTCCAGTTTTGTGGACATCACACAAATGTCACTAGTCCGGTGGCTACACAGTATTTGAGCACTGGATTTACACAAAAATCAGTTCAGGTTTAAGAAGTGTTTCAACTTTGCATCAACTACTGATGAACATACATTTTTATTTGCATTATCACTCAAGAGGTTAACCACTTTGGAAGGCTTTTGTCTTTCAAACACATTAAAATGCACATTTCCACACTATTTCTTATTTACATGTAATGCAGGCATTCCCAAACTTTTTTGTCAGCCGAACCTCTTTTAAAGACTAAGATTTTAAATTAAATATTTTAATAAATAAGTATCACATTTACATGTGCACGGTTCTCTGATGTTGGTGAACGGTCACATGACATGCAGGTAAACAAAACATATTTAATTTTTAGTAAGCATTTTATTTTGATTGTTGTTATTTTAAAATAATTTATTAATTATTTGAAATCTATTAAAATGATTATTTTAATTTTACATTTTTATGATTTAATTAATTATTAGCTTTTCATTAAACTCACGAACCCCCTGCAGTTCCTTCATGAACCCCAGTTTGGGAAACCTTGACGTAATGTTTAATTCACTTCATGTTGTTCATTACAAAAGAATGGAATATATTTTCTTTCTCTGTATTTTATATCAATATGGTACAAGATTATCTTATTCAAATCAATGTGATAAATGTGTTAGGTCAAAAGTAATCTAAAAGTAGTCTGATTATATTACCTAAAATGTGGAATGTAATGGATTTTGTTACTTACTACAATTTTTGTCATGTAATTTGGAAACAGTAACACACACACACGCACGCACGCACACGCACACACACACACACACACACACACAGACATGTCTGGTCAGCTATCCTTGTGGGGACTCTCCATAGGCGTAATGGTTTT